AGAGAGCCTGTTCTGCAGTTGCCAAAGTTTTTAATGAGTGCAATAATGTGTCTCTTAGGAAGGTAAAACTTGAAACAAAACGTCTCTGTAAAAATTTGGGCCTGAGTAGATTGTTTCACGATATTGACGCAGCCAAGAAAGATAGCCTTGATATTATGTTTAGCGCGAAAACGCACAAGCCTGAATGGCCATTGAGGGTAATAGTTTCGGAAATAGGGTCATGGCAGAAGAACCTAGCCCTTTTCTTGCAAGAAAGGCTCGGTATTCTTAAAATTGACGACCCCTTTTTGATTAAGCATTCCGGGGAAATATTAGATTTCCTGAAGAGTAACCCAGACAAAGGTTTTTTCGCCTGCTCCTTTGACATAAAAGATTTATATTATTCTTTGCCTCAAAATGAACTAATCGAGCGCGTGGAAGAATGTATTGACAGCTTTGGTGTGGTTGCGTTTCAAAACTCAGCCGAGATTTCGGTTCAATGCTTTTTAGACTTGCTTCGCTTATATCTCCGCTCGACATTTGCCACGTGGAATGGAAAAACTTTCCTTCAGAAGCAGGGCATCTGTATCGGCTCCTGTTTGGCGCCGGTACTGAGTGACATTTTTCTGGCCCACCATGATAGAAATCTGGCACATGTCTTGTCACAGCACAGGGTGGCAAAAGTTGTGAGATACGTGGACGATTACCTTGTCTTGTTCGAGCGTGAAGAAAACGTAGCAGTAAGTCAACTCGAAGCTGTTTTTTCTGCTTGCCTTAGCCCACTCATTATTACAGTAGAAGAGCCAACCGATAGCGTGCTGCGGTTTTTAGACGTTGAAATGGAATTCAAGCAGCAGCACACGTGTTGGGAATACAAGCCCAGAGCTAATAAGCCCCTGTTGCCATACCAATCTGCTCACTCGAAGCTAGTAAAAAGAAGCATTGCCAATCTGTGTTTTGGGAACGCATTGCGGAAATCTTGCCATCATAAAATTCAGAAAAGTGTCATGAGTCAGTCGGAGAGGTTATCCGCAGCAGGTTTCCCAGAGTCGATACAGGTGTCTGTTGTCGAGGGTTTGCTTAAAAAATGCCGGTTGGACAGTCGCCCTCGGGAAGCAGACATCCAACCGGCAGCGAGTAGGAGCAGAGTTGCAGTAGTGCCGTACCTGCACAAAACTGCTCATAACCTGAAGAAAGTAGCTAGTCGAGTGGGCATCAAAGTAGTATTCTCAGCACCACAAAAGCTTGGCAGGATAAGTCGCTTGACGGACCCGCACCGCAAGCCTGCTGTCGGTTGCTCCAAGAAGCATCGCGATCATTTTGTGGCGTGTGTTGAAGGGGTAGATGCCTTAATGACCGTCTTCGTGAACATAAGCTCAATGTTAAAAACATGGTGTGCGTTCTAAACAAGAAGTACTTATGGCCATTATGCGATCAGTACTTGCGTGGACAGGTGTCGGCGCTAATGTGAACACACTTGTACGCACCTGCATGTTTATCTGCGAAGGGCCGTAGATTATAAAGACGTGCGAGAGATCATTGAAGCCCATGCTAATCTTTCCGCAAGGTGAGCATTGTAAGTGCCCGTCAGTGACTTTAGATCGAGAAAGGGCTTTTCTCTGGGCTAGTGGATAACTGGTGGCGCCACTGTACACGATTTATAGTTCGCGTTCCCTGAAAATAAAATTGTTGAAGTTAGCGCCATTGTTGTTGTCCACTCGTCTCCTGTCCTGTCTCTTAGCGCTGACATATGGTCGTCAGGATATATATCATCTGCCCCAGATGCCAATGAAAGTTTAAGCTTTTCAATTATGGCCATTATTCATTCCTCGCTGAATTCGATTGCTGGCAATAACTTCCTCCACAGGGGGTGGGGGTACAGATAGAGGAGCATCAGGTTCAGTGGTGAATACAGATGAAAAAGCAAGATTAAATACCTCAGCACGTTCTCGTTCAGGAATTGTGATGTCATTATGGTCGGTTATGATAACAGCAGATGGTGGCTTGGGACTCAAAATTTGCCAGAATTTTTCATGGTTACTTTCAAGTGCACAAGGCAAGGTATCATAAAAGAAGGAGTGCTTGTCACGACGCATAGCTGATAAGTAAACTTTCTCAGCTACGTAATAAGTTTTCTAGGCCGCAGCACAATTTTTCTTTCTTGCCAAGTAGAAAAGGCGCTTTTTGTTATTTTCTAGAGTTTTTAATTTCCGTGTGAACCAAGGCTTGTTGTAGTTTGCTTGTACCAATATAACTGGAATATGGTTAGTAACAAGCTCAGTACACTTTTGTTGGAAGATCAACCAGTTTTTTTTTTTTTTTTTGCAGTGTGTGGCAATGAAAATTGGTGCAAAAAGTCGGGTAATAAGCGATAAGCTCGTTGTTTATGGCATCGTAGTTACCTTTATCGTATGAGCGTATTGTTTTATTCCACGATTCTTGTTTTGGCAAGGTAAAGCTGAAGACTGCGTGGATTATTTTATGATCGCTAATTTCATGGAGGCAAGCCATCGAAGAGAGGCTCTTTGATTGATTGATTGATTTGTGGGGTTTAACGTCCCAAAACCACCATTTGATTATGAGAAACGCCGTAGTGGAGGGCTCCGGAAATTTCGACCACCTGGGGTTCTTTAACGTGCACCCAAATCTGAGCACACGGGCCTACAACATTTCCGCCTCCATCGGAAATGCAGCCGCCGCAGCCGGGAATCGAACCCGCGACCTGCGGGTCAGCAGCCGAGTACCTTAGCCACTAGACCACCGCGGCGGGGCGAAGAGAGGCTCTTTGGGCTATTGGTTAGTATCAGACCAAAAACGCTGGCCGAATCCTGCGTGACGTGTGTTGGTTGCAACACAAGCTGACTTAAATTGAAGGTAAAGCAAAGATCGAGAAACTCGTTATCATTTTTGCTCAGTGACGAAGGCGTATTTCCAGCCCAGTTTATGTTAGGGAAGTTAAGATCCCCGAAGAACAATACCTGGGCGTTAGTATATTTTGTCGTGAGTCTGTCCAGGACGCAGCTAAGCTTCTCAGTAAAGCCTGTATACGTTCGCGGTGGGTGGTACCATACACCAAGTAAGATAGTATGAGGAGGGAAGCGAAAGAGTAGCCATGATATTTCAAGGTCACTTGGCGTATGAACAATGGTGCAAGGCAAGGTATTACTGACGGTAATGAGCACACCACCGCCTCTAGAGTTCTGGTGATCTTTGCGGAAAACCTGAAAGCCGGGTAGGTCATCCATGACCTCAGTGTCGGATACATCAGCAGTAAGCCATGTTTCAGTAAATATTAACAAATAACATCTAGATAAGAGAGCAATATTAGATACGATGTCGCGTTTAGGGAGAAAACTCCTTATATTAGTAAAAATTGCTGAAATAGGAGTGCTTGAGCGCATTGCTATCGAGCACTGAGATGGCTGGCGGTGACGTAGCAATTGCTATCCGATTTCTTTAGCACATTTCTAGCGTCGTCGCACATGTACTTCGAGGATCCTATAAATGGTTTTATAACGTTGAGAAAAGGCGACAGCTTTGTCCTTTGCAAAAGCGAGAAGGAGTTTCCTGTACGGCGCGGGAGTACTCTTGACCGATTCTGTAGTTACTGCCTTTCAGCTTGCGTCCATCAAACAGGATTTTTTTGGTTTTGTAGCGAGCAAACTTCGCAATTATGGAGCGGTTATGGTTAGTAGACTGGCGGCCAAGTCGATGCGCATGCTCAATATCCTCGGGCACCACGGGTAAGCCTAGGTGATCTGGGCAAAAGCGAATAAGTTTTTCTTTTATCTGTGGGGCAGATCCTGAGGCGCTTGGGTCGGGAATACCGAAGATGATTAGATTGTTGTGGTCGGCTCGATTTTCTGCGTCATCGAACCGCCATTCTATGTCTGGAATTACACGGGTTGTCTCGCTGGCAATAGATGTGATGGTTGCGACCTGTCGTTGCAGTGGTTCAATGTGTGGACAGTGGCTCTGAACGGTATTCATTTTTCAGCTAAGTTCAGCTATTGTACTTTTAGTTTCGGCATGTTCACTTTTTAGACCCTTCAGTTCGGCTACTAGCGGCGATTACCCGGCCTGACAGTTTTTTTTCTTCAATTTAGCTAATATAGCGTTATGTCACCCGACATTACACTCTAAAAAAGAGCGAGTAAAAAGCGTGTCTTTTTGTCCCACAACAATAATTGTCATCTATATTGTGCTCCATCTTTGCGCTATCGCCCCGCGCCCGGTACATTACGGTCACGATCGGCATGCCCATTATCAGGGTTACATTGCATTCTCAATAGGAAAGTGGCCAGCGCCCAGTGTTCAAGAAAGGAAGCGCAAGCAAGTCTGATGATGATTATTGTTGTGGGACAAAAAACACCCTTTTTACTCGATATTTTTTAGAATGTACGCGAGACATCAATACACTCCTTAATAATCGATAATAGACACTGGGGGCTCGGCAGCAGCATCAAAAAGAAGTCGCTCGGTTTCTTAGTGTAGAGACTTAAAAGCTGACTAACCTGCATGTTGAAAAGAAGCAGTTTGGGCGATTGTCACGCGGCACAGCCACCGAGCCCACAGGTGGGCGCGCCAAAGTGTTGTTCTTTTATAGTCGACGTGGCGATTGATGTTGCAGACGTAGGCTTGTCTCAGGTGGCAACAGTTGCAAAATCTGTGCCAGGTGGTGCTGGCAGAAGTGCAGGGGTAGAGTCACTGGAAAAAATTTCAGAGTATCGCATCTGTTTTCCGGCCACCAACGCCACCGTAGAGCCGAGGTGATTGGGTTATTTGTGTCACGTGACCTTCCCTCGCCATATCCCTTCCAAGCACGTTGGGCGCCCCCGCGCAAAGACGTTTCTTTTGCTGTTTAACGAGCATTGTGGACGGATCTCAACGTGCCAGCTACGTATTTTGGACGGATTATCAGCAAGCGTACGTGCCAGATCCATGCCTGGCTGCTGCGCCTTCGGGTGCAGCAACCGAACGGAGTCTGGAAAGGCATTTTTTTTTTTTTTGCATTCCGACCGGAAAAAATGACCAGCAATGACGTTTGGCATGGCTGTACAGAATCGGTCGCAAGAACTTTGTTTCTTCGAAGAACACCTGCTTGTGTGAGGTAAGTTGGTGAAGTCTCCAAGTGCAATAAAAGTAGCGTTACAAATTGGACGAGTAGCGTTACAAGGTGGAGCATTAAAAGTTGGGGATAAATAGTTTCGCTCTCCAGATTAGAATAACAGATAGGTGAGATAAATGGTACAACAGCTGGTGTGTGTTCGCTTGTGCAATTGCATCTTAGCACTGTTGTATGAGAGATGCGGCGGTTTGCTGGGCATGTTCTAATGTGGTTGAAATATTTACCCGTTCTGTTCGCGCGGCTTGTTCGAGCGATTGCGTGCTACGCTCATACGAACAGAGATTTATTGTGTGAAGCGTTTAACCAGTCGGCACTGGTGGCATGACAAGCTTTCAATTAACGGGACAGAAGCACAACTGAGAGTGCGCATGAAATACGAGTGATTTGCGATTTACGCGATCGTATTGTGGGAATTTATTTGCATAACTTTGTGACGATGGTTAGCCAGCCGAGAATGGGGAAAAACTGCCATTAATATTACTGTGTCTGCAGAATGCGTTTCGGGAAAGTTGATTTAGTTGTACATACAAAGTTCGAACGGAAAGTTGCCAGTGGTTTCCTCCTTTTTGTGAACATGTTTTCGCCTTTATATTCCAACTTATAAGACTGAATAAATGTGGACAGCCGTTTGCATAAATTTATTCTGAATGAAGGTGCCTATTTCATTTTTATAGTGTTGCTTCAACTGTGTTCTTGTTTCTCTCACTGTTGTACTACACAAGTCGCCCCCCTCCCCTTTTCCATGCCTGCCTTTTCATGTGAGATAGCACCTTTTTTATCCTGTTTTGCATTTGAAACTAAGAAAAAGTGAGCAAGCATACATGAAAATGCCTCTGATAATTTAGGAACGTGGTTGTAGCCCCAACAATGAAAAGTTATATTTTCAAAACGTTCGCAGCAACTATATTCACTATTGAATAATTTCTCATGAGTATTAAACATTTTGAAACAATAGGCCAAAGTAACGTCAATCACATTTTTTTCTTGACGGACAATCAACAGATCCACTTCCTTCCGGATGATCTTGAGAAACCAAGAGTGGGTGGCAAAAATAAGTTGAAGTGGATCACAGTGCCAAGCATTTTCCAGCATAAACCCAGAAAACCTCCATTTTCTCGTCCGATCTCACAACCAGGATGCCAGCACCCAATGCCGGATAACCCAGGCAAAGCACTTGAAGCGCCACATTTTACGAACAACCAAGGTGCACCTGATAACCCAGAGGAAACCCCGCATTGCGAGGGAGCACCTGCGAGCTCAGAAGGCAATGACGAGTCTTTTGTGGATGGAGGCACAGCGATGGAATGCTCTGTAGCAGGTATTTTATGTATAATTACGCAGTTGGAGGCTGATTCGATGCATGAAAACATTAACGAAGTGAAATTCTTCTGAATAGTATTTGAGTATTGTTCAGGGATTATCTGTGGCTTTCATTTTATGGAACTAGAGTTACCAGAGGAGACTACACGTGCGTACAAATACGCAAATCCTCTGCTGCAAAACCAGGCTACTCTAGAGATTTGCCAGATCAAAATATGCATGTCATCTGCATATGTTGGCCATATTCATTCTTAACATTTTCGTTTTTATTTTTCATGGTAATACATCAAGGAAACCGGAGAAATGGAAAGAACATAAGCTTGGACATGCTGGTAATCCATCTTCACTTCACTTTTTAATTTCCTTAAGGACCCCCTCAAGGGGGGAATTACATAAGGGGTGGGGTTACAATTAGGCCACATATATACATAAGATTAATACGCAATTAAACATACGGAAAAAATTATACGTAAACATTATATATACATTTGTAATTATGCACATCAACCGGATATGCATATAATTATAGATATGCATACAACTAATAGCGCACTGCAGGGACAGGAACACAAAGATACACGTTGTGTCCACGTTGTATCTTTGTTTTCCTGTCCCTGCTGTGTGATTTAGTTGTTAAAACGGAGAAATCGAATGAAGTCTGAGTCTCACATTTTCAAAATCTCTAGTTTGCGCTGCTCACTGTATGCTTTAAATCTGCATTCAGTAATTGCGTTTCAAGTTGTTTTGCGCATTCAGCCAAACGGCTATGGGGCATTCCTTGTGCAAGAGTTCTCACAGCTTCCAGGTTTTGAAGCCTGTCTCACGCTCTAAGGTGTTATTTGTGCTAGTTTTCTTTGCTAAAGCAGCAATGTTTGCACGATCCGTGTTACTTCTTCGTCCACGATCTTTGTTTGTGCCAACAATTTTCCAGCCAGCACAACAACGTAGAGAATTATTCAACCAGTGGATTGAACAACACTTATAGCAGTTGTGTGTGCTAACTGCTCTATTGTGTTGTGTGTCGGTTCTCTCTATTCTCAATGTAAAGTTACAAATAGAAATTGGTTGTTAATGTTTTATTCAATGTTTTCACGGTTTTCGTTACGTCCACAAACGAATCAATTGGTTCAGTTTAATATGCTTGTTGAAGCATTTTTTTAGATTTTAAAGCCATCACATTGGTCATGGTGCACGTAGCCTCGAATATCCTATAAGTGCTTCGCTTAATGCTGTCGGTTTCCTCATTTTAGATTCTTGAAAGTTTTTAGTGTTAGAACTAGTTACTAATTTCATGAATGGAATCGTATTTTGCAGCAAAAGATGACCGAATGAACGAGTCGTCACCAGTGCAAGAAGGCAAAATGACGGGAAGGAGCACTTTTGCAGACAATGACTCATTTAATTAGCTTTTGGTCTGAAAGCGGTAGCTGAATTTGGAACAGAAGAAACGAGCACAGGCTGAAAAATAGTGCAGAAGCCTGAAAGAGTCATTTAGGAAGATCTTTACTGATGATCGACTGTGTTATCTTGGTAAAGGAACTATGAAGGGATCTACATGGAGTGATAGCACAGTGAAGGAATCATTAAATGTTCGACTTTCTTGTGAATCGAGAGGATACGAATACCTCCGTGACAGTGGATCGCCACTGCCCGCAGAAAGAACGCTCCAGAAGAACATTGAAAACATCAACTTCTCGCCAGGTACGTGCCTTCTTTTTTGTACAAGGAACAATATAAAAGAAACAGTCAATCATCATTACAGCAATTTATGGTACGTCTTCTTCAAAAAACCAACAAATGCGAATATTACACTACTGGGAATTAGGGTGAAACATAAAATGTATCTCAGTACGACAAATGTAAGAAGTGCCTATATCAAGCCACATTTTTACAAGGCTTCTTTATTCACCTAAAGGTCCCTGAAGTGCTTTTCATATGCATCCTGCAGCGCTGGAATGTCTGTCGTGCTGAATCCTGAGATGAGCGCAAATATAATGATCAAAATTGGTGCATGAGTTTGGAAGTTATTAGTGCAGTGTAATCGTGAACTTTTTGTTGTTGCAAATACAAAGATGCAGAACTGGTTTTGTACTAGTGGTGACAAGGACGCACATCACTGTCTGAGTGTTCTTATAGTATTTAGTTCATTCGATTGGATTCAGCATGTCAAAGATCCCGAGGTGGTCAAAAATTCCAGAGCGCTCTACAACGGCATGCCTCATAATATCGTGGTTTTGGCATGTTAAACCCTGGCAGTTATTATTTTATTACTATTATTATTATTGGACCTGCTTCTGGCACAGTTCAGCTCCTGTTTCATTTTGTCCCAAAGCTCTTCATGCATGCCTCTTAATGAAACTGTATGGCACGTTGACAACAGTCTGCTTAATTCTAGGAATACGTTGAGGATGTCTTTCCTGCACTTGCGGCAAAAGTTGCAACATTCAAGGCAGAGGATCAGTACGCTGTCATAATGCTTTATGAAATACAGCTCACCCCAAGCCTCGATTATGACTGTACTAAGAGTTCAGTCATTGGTAAGTGTTCATGCGGGTTCTGTTTCTTGCAGTCGGACTTTGGTGTAAAGGCACAATGCTTACAATGTGTGAAACTTAAGCTAAAGATAATGAACTATATTTTTTCAGCTCGGCATAAAGTGTGCTCGAAGCTTGCTTCTTTCGTAAGCTGTGAAATCAATAGCTCACTTTCTATTCATAATGCCACATAGTAATATGTATATGAAAATTTCCACTAAAAGGCATGTAGAATATTTTGTTTTCAAGTGCAAAAGACAACTCGCCACTGGTAGAGGCTGAACCTGTACCCTCCAGATAATGCGTACTGTTTTGGTACTAAATGACAGATAAATAACACTTTACAAGTATATATTAGTTCTATTCAGGCATTACCTGCATCAACAAAGCATTTCTGCATTCTCTATTTATTAATTTTAATCTATTAGGTGATTGCTGAAAAGTATAATGCTGTTTACAAATATATGCTTGTGCACTACTTTTCAGGACATTCTACTTTAGCATCATCAGACCAAAGTGCACCAGCTGGTCTCGCAACACACGCCCTGGTGTTCATGCTTGGAGGAGTTACGTCCAGGTGGAAACAGACAGTAGCATACCACTTTTCACGTAAATAATGCATTGCTCTGTAACTTCTAGAGGACAAAAGCAGTTTATCTAGCCAACAGTGACACATTTTTCTCTCTCGTTGTACACTTTCCATTTAAGTGAATCTCAGTAGACTGCAAGAGTAAATAAGCGTGCTTATCATAAAACTTTAGGCCTTGCCGCCAGAGCGAAACAGTGATTATGGTACTCGACTGCTGGCCCAAAAGACGCGGGTTCAATCGCAGCCGCGGCGGTTGCATTAGGATGGAGGCGCTATACTAAAGGCCCATGTATTGTTCAAGGTCGGTGCACTCTAAAGTACCCAAGGTGGTCATAATTATTCAGAGCCCTCTGCTAAGCCATGACTCGTAATCATATCGTGGTTTTGGCGCATTAAACAACAGAAATTATAACATGTTTATTTCTTTTTCAGCTGACTCCTCTGATAAAAAGCAGGTATTCAACATACTTTTTGACATCATCAGGAAATGTGAAGCAATTGGTCTGTCTGTAGACTGTGTAACTTCTGACGTGGGGAGTGGAAACCGGGTCATTTAGAGACTGTGCAGTATAATGGCCACCAAGTACGGCGCCCTCGGACCACATGTGTTCAGCTATGATGAAGGACGCAACCTGCAACTTCCTTGCGGATGCACCCCACCTTCTAAAAACTTGGGTGGTCATCTAGTGATGCAGCAGAAGATAGTTCTGGATGATGAGACTGTGGTTAAGAACAAGTTGCCAACGAATGAGGTTAAGTACTATGTTGCTATGTAAGCAGTCAGGGCATAGCATCTTGTGGTCACGTAGTCGCCAAGAGAAACTAATTCCTTTGACTGCCTTATTTTAATGAACATTCGTTATAACACTTCAAGACAAATGCAAATAAACAGCCTCCTATGTGCTAAAGTGGTTCCTTGAGCGTGTTCGTACGAAATATTTGAGGGAAACAGTGCGAAAGACGGAAGACCAGGCAGAGACCAGGCTGTTGTATGTGTCCTTCTCTGCCTGGTCTTCAATATTTTAAGCTGTTTCCTCCAATGTCTCCAATGTGCACTGCTGTATGAATGCTTCTGCTTGTAATTGCCAATTAACCCTGCCAGAATGCCTGCACAAGGGGCTCTGCCACGTTCAAATACAACTTAATACATGAAAGACGAATGTGAAAGCCAAACAAAGCACACACTGTCCACATTTCTGCAGGTTTGATGGTTTATGCCTTTAAAACCGTCAACAAGATACAGCAAATGAATCAGCACATTCTGATAGCCCTATGTTGCATTATATGGCTCTATCTTATACCTGCATATTTCCTCATTTCATCGCCTCTAATCCTCTGCTGTTAACTGCACCCCTTCTGTTATACTGATCGACGACCTGTTATCTGCTGCAGGCATAACTTGCTCAAATTCATGTCACTAATTCAAGCTGCCTCTGTTATCTGATTTACGAGCATTTACTCTTTTCAGTTAGTCATTAATGCTCTCACTACTCTTCACAATTATAAACGTTATTTATATACTTTTTTCTTTCCTTCAGTGCAGTCCTAGCTTCCTCATGAGCTTCTTTGCTTCAAATAAATGCACGACAGGTAAAAACGAGTAGGGTCAATACAGCACTTTCAGTCCTAAGGGATACTAGTAAGCTGCCAGCCACAACTCGGAAGAGCCTACAATATAAGAGTTTAATGTCATATGAATTTCTAAACTTACTTGTGAACTTTGCTGGTTAGTCTGAAATGGCGAAAACCTGAAGACACATCGTAAACATAGGCAGAGAATAAGTTTCGTTTATGCATTTTTACTATGCTTCAAATGAGCTACAAATTGTTATGTACAGTTTTTCTGATTTTTTTATAATACGACAAAGTTATGTGTGAATATGAATACATAAACAGCAAATTTATCCATAATGACCCGTTTTCCTTTCAGGTCAGCCTAAAGTATGTGGAGCAGCTGTGCAAAATTGACAAACAGCACAGCCTCAAGCTTGCCCCACGTTTAAAGCAGAACCATCTAAACCCAAGCCACTTCGACAAAATGAATGTTGGCACAGGTTGTGCCTTGTTCGACCACAGTATCTCTGCTGCTCTTCGGCTTCTGGTTGAGCAGAAAGAATTTTTTTATATTTATTTATTTATTTAACAATACAGTAGGTCTTCTGCAGACCCATACAGGAAGCGGGCATACATCATCACAGGTAACCAATTGGATACAAAGTTCAGGAAATAGAATATTTTGAGGGACAATACGCACAACAGCGAAACACGTACAATAGCGGGTACAACAATACTACATTGGTGCTCTTCCCATACACGAGAAGACGAAAAAATAATAATAAAAACCACGTACTACGCATGAAAAACAATATATATGTACAAAAGATTACAATGCACCACTGCAAAACACGTTTTTCATTATCGCAACAACAAGAACAGCAAAATGTAACTATACTGACTCTGTTAACTGCTCTACAAAAGAACAAAATTCATCAATATTTGTAATATTAATAGCTTCACCTGGTAGTGCGTTCCAAGCGGTGATAGCGTGAGAGAAAAAGGAATAATTAAACACATTGCTGTGGGCACTGAAGGGACGTATACATTTATCATGGTTCGTCCTACTAGAACGCAATTAGGCGGATGAATATACTGAGTCGTCTTTACAGGTTTTAAGGTAAGCGTGAAAAAGGAGATAGAAAAACTTCATTGAAGCAACATGACGCCGGCTAGACAGAGCTGCTAAGTGCGCTTGATGACGCATGTCCGTTGCACTGTCGCGCCAGGAGTATTTTGAGTATATAAACCTCGGGGCCTTGTTCTGCAATTTTTCAAGTTTTTCGCGAAGATAGATTTGATGAGGGTCCCACACTATACTTCAGTATTCTGGAATAAGCCTGACCAGGTTTTTGTAGGTGGTTAGTTTAACTGTTGAAGGTGCTTTGCTCAATTTTCTACGCAGAAATCCGAGTTGTTTAAATGCCTTGGCACATGTATTGGTAATGTGCTGTTCCCATTTTAAATCTTGCGAGAATGTGACGCCCAGATATTTTACTTTGTCAACTTTGCTAATATTGGAACCATTAAGATTGTACACAAGTGACAAAGGTCGTTTTTTTTTTGTTGTTAGACTTATGAACGCGGTTTTAGACATATTTATTTCCATTCCCCACATCTCACACCATTGGGAATTGTTTTGTAAAGAAGAATTGAGTTTTAATTGGTCATCAATCATCTGAGAAAAGTCGCAATGTTACACCTGGTTCCGCACAGAACAGATGTAATCTACGTAAACAAGAAATAATGTTGGCCTCAAAACAGACCCTTGGGGTACACCGGAAAAAAACACTGAGGCAGTCAGAGTACGTTGTTTAAAGTTACATACTGGGAGTGATTAGTTAAGTAGGCCGAAATCTCCGCAATTCTTTGCTATTAATCCCAAGAGCTTCAAGCTTGGCTAATAATTTGGAATGAGGCACACGGTCGAAGGCTTTCGCAAAGTCTATGAATATTGCATCAGCCTGAACATTGGAGTCAATTATGCCAGCAAAGTCATGCGCTATTTCTGCAAGTTGTGTTACCGTGGAGAGACCCCTACGGAATCTGTGTTGCTTCGGGTACATCATATTACATTCTAAGTAATTTACAATGACTTTGTGGAGGATATGTGCTCCATTAATTTACAACAGTAGGTCATCAGCGATATGGGTTGATACGTGTCCACCATAAATCTGTTACCACTTTTATGGATCGGAATTATTCTTGCGCGTAGCCAGTCTCTCGAAAGTTGCCTGTTTTCAGTGAAAGCATTAATATTTTAAACAGAAAAGTAGCAAGCTGTTCTGCATAACGCCTAAGAAACGCATTTGGGATTTTATCTGGCCCGGTGATTTCTTAACATCAAGTTGTAAAAGCAGGTTCAAGATACCTCTTTCGGTTATCTAGATTTCCGGCACGGCCGAGTTACGTTCAAAAAGCGGCCCTTGGACTGGGCATGCTTGGGTGAATACCGATTGGAAAAAGGAATTGAACGAGTTAACTATTGCGTGCGTATTTTCAGTAACGATGCCGTTGATTTCCATCTTACGCATTGGACTGTCCGGCTTAGCTAGGTAACGCCAAAATTTCCTCGGTTGTGTTGTCATAAAGTTGGTTAGGCTGTGTGAAAAAAAATAGGTCTTCGCTTCGCGCAACAGGCTTTTAAACTCTTGGTAGCACTGACTTATTACAGCTGGATCGCATTTACGCTTCCGCATTCTTTTCAGCTTCCGTTTATTATGATTTATTTCTCGCGTTATCCAAGGAGTCCTTCGTTTTGTCCTCTTACGTTTCGTAGGAATGTAAGTTTCATCACAGTGAAAAATTGTGGCCTTCAATTTTAACAAGTTGTCAACATCATCGGAAGGTTCAGCGTCAAAATTGTCTAACTACATTACTAGGTAATCAATAATACTTTCATCGGCAGCTCTGGAATAATCTTTAATAAATATATGTGAATTTTCATTGTCACTTTTTGCCGGGCTAAGATTGGGGAATTCAATTAAAACCATTTTATGGTCGGAGATTTCATCTTGCACCATAACTTGAGCATTTATTGAGCTAGAAATTAAAGCAGGATCTAAGATGTTGGTAGCAAACCCGTGAATGCGTGTCGCTTGCGTTACGCATTGAAGTAATGTGAAACTTAGCATAATGTCCAGAAGTTGCTCGCAGGCATTTGCCTCTCTATTGCTGGTGGTTAGGTTTTCCCAGTCTATTCCTGCCAAGTTGAAGTCGCCAACAAGTACTAGCTTCGTCCAATCATGCATTTTTGCGAGGAGATAGTTGTGCAGTTCCGTAAGATAAGATTCGGGTGGCCCAGGTCGTCTGTATATTCCACCTATTAGTAGAGGTGTGGTTTGAAATGTAACAGGGCACTACAGACTATCGTGGTTCGGTATACCATGTTCTTCCTGGAACGCTAAACCATCTTTAAAGCGATAGCCACTCCACCTCCATGGCTGTCATGGTCCTTGCGAAGTAGGCTATAGCCTTCTGAAATTATTTCTGAATCATGAATACTGGGATGAAGCCACGTCTCAGTAATCACCAAAACATCAGGTACAAAAGCCAGCAAGATCTCCTCTAGTTAGTCCGTTTTGTTCACTATACTTCTGGCATTAAAGCACAACAAAAAAAACAATGGCGTGTTTGCTTGGCTTCGTGTACTTTACCTAATGCCTTCGCGGCCAGCAGTTTGGGAACGCGCCGGCTGCAGAAGTATCCTCTTTCCCACGTGCCTATCCCAAACGTAGAGCGTGTCATTTATTTTCAGCTTATCGAAAAAAAACACAACCTTATCGCCGCTGTCTCGGTAAGAAAAAAAAATCATGGGAAAGCTGTAACAATGGCTTGGTTTTAGATCAGGTGTTTAAGTGGTTTTCGCTAATGACGTCAAGGACACCAACCTTGGCTTTGAGTGATTTGTGCCCACAAAAGGACAAGGAGGTTGAAATATTTCTTCACAATCTGATTGAGATGTTCAGGAAACTTGACATTTTTTTCCGCAGCCGGCCTAAGGCATCGTGGAAGCCAGTGCAGACTGGCATGATGAAAACAACATTACAGCATTAACTCTTCGCCAGTAGTATATCAAGTCCAAAGGCTTGAAGTTTCTTCTCTTGAGTCGCTTCCCGCAGGACGCCCTAGAGAATCTCTTTAGTGCCATAAGAGCCAAGTCCCCTGTCCCCAGAGCTAGGCAATTCAAGTACACGCTGAGTCATTGTGCTTGCACAGTTTTTTTAAGCCAAGGAAGCATGGCAGCTATAACACAGATGACTCTGTTCATTTAACAGATTTTTTGAGCTCAAGACCAGACTTGAGGGCTCAGCTAGATGATGTTAAAATGCCTGCCATGCTTAAAAATC